GGTGGAGGATAGTCTTGATTGTTGTAGACACCGCATGATGATTAGGTGAATTAAAACTAATCAATTGGTGTATTGGTTGTCATTGTATATGATGAGTACTTGAATACATGGGTGCCGAATCCCGCGAATGAAATTTCCGTAAAATGGCAATTCAAACATAATTATATATGAGTGCCGAATTCCGCGGATGAAATTTCTGTAAAATGGCAATTCAAAAATATCTATACATGGGTGCCGAATCCCGCGGACGCAATTTTCATAAAATGGCAATCCGAAAACATCTATAGATGAGTGCCGAGTCCCGCGAATGAAATTTTCGTAAAATGGCCATAAGAAAATAATTACACATGGGTGCCGAATCCCGCAGACGCAATTTCCGTGAAATAACAGTTTGAAGTATTGTTGGCTTGAGATGTAGTCTCGCTTAAGTTGTTTGGCCAGGTTCTGAGCCGTGTTTATAAGTTGAGTTTTGTTAAGTGAAGGATTATGGAACTGGATTGTACAGTATGTTGGTCTATATGAGTTAAACATTTACCAAGTGCTAATGTTTTAGTTATTGCTCATATTATGTTTAGCATATCTCTACTGGGCGTTGGCTCACCCTATATGGGACATCATTTTTAGGTACAGGCGTTATGCCACCTCCAAGGACGTAGCTTGGAAGGCTTGAGGCTGTCAGACTCTTTTTGTTGTTTTGTTGTATTACATGTATATCAAGCCAAGAGCTTATTTGTGAAGAGTTAGTACTCTCCTTTTTGTAACCAAGTGTTGACTTGAAAAGTTGTAAGCCTATAGGGCATTTACTTTTATTGTCAACATGTAATACCTCTTGTAAGAATACTCTGATGATTGTAATATGAAATCTCTTCTATTTATCGTGAATGCATGTTATGATGGGTTTAGTTATGAGGGCGTTATAGTTGTTTAAAAGCTAAATGTGATAAGTTAGCAGATGCCTTTGAAATAGATGATATTGGTTAGTCGTAATTACTCTATGTTCTCTCTGTGCACAAAGGAAGAGATATTTTGTGCATAATATTACCCATTGTTTGGTGTTGCAGACACTTCATCTGATAATCAAAGTTCAAGTGCTCGGCTTCTAGAAAGGTTTGTGTTATTTTTTCATTTTGTCATTATTAATGGTGCAAGGTCTGTTCTGAATGTCAAGGCTACGATGATGTACTTTTTTTTGATTGCTTGAAATTTCAATATAAAGTGGTATGGTTTATATAATTGTCATGATGGTACCATGTTGTGTATGCTTGTTGCCATTTAGCTGAACATGATTTGAAGCGTTTGTAGATCAGATTGTGCAAAGAGACATTTAAAAAATTTAAGCTTTAAAGTTGTTTCTTTATTTTTTTATCATTCTTTCACTTATTATTTTTTATTTTTCAAGTTTTTCATTTGAGTGGAGAGCATTACAAAAATTGTTCTTGAATTTTATTCACTCAGACCTTCTTGTTCTGGAAACGGTTACTGTTGTTTTTCCTTTTGTCATTTTAGTTCAAAATGGATACTCAAATATAGACTCATGAGTCTCAAATCTTACCCTTCAAAATGGAAGAGATTTTTTCCCCCCTTCTTATTTTTCTTCTTAAAAACATGAACTATGAAAGTTTTCTTCAGATGTCGAGGTGGTTATTCTTTCTTGAAACTGTCTATACCTACTTTTCCAAACTGCCTAAAGCAGCCATATATCAATTGCTTTGTGTGTACTTTAATAATCAGAAATGACTTTTTGAGGAGTTCATTTACCTGTAGCTTGTGTGCTTCTCTCTGATCATCTAAATAGGGTAAAGTTAATTATTGAGGAGATTGAGAGGGAAGAGGCAGCTCTGAGGAAGGATTTGTCTTTCGTGGACAGAAAATTTGCAAAATATTACAATGCATGTGAATATGAGTTCTGATGACTTGAACTTTATCTTTACTTTGATCAATGCCACCAATTTACATTATTTGGAAGTGAACATCAACAATTTTGGCTGCAAGTATCCAGAATACATCGGTAATCTCTCGAGAAACCTTGAATATTTGAATCTAGACCACAATCATATATTCAGAAGCATTTCATCTGGGATTGTAAATCTTGTTGGCTTGCAGATTTTGAATATGCAGCTTAACCAATTCACTAGTACTATTCCAAGTGAGATTGGAAAGCTTCAAACTCTACACAGATTGAATCTCGACAACAATCCATTGTCTAGTAACATTCCCTCTTCCCTAGGAAATCTGAGTTTGTTAAGTATATTTGCTTTAAGAATCAATAATTTTCATGGAAGCATTCCTCCGAGCCTAGGGAATTGTAGTAATTTACAAATGTTGCTTCTTTCTAAAAACAGTAAGGTTACCAAAACAAGTTGTTTCTGTCTCATCCTTATCTATATTGCTAGACCTATCCCAAAACCAATTGAGTGGTGTGCCTCCCATGGAAGTTGCAAATTTGATAAACCTTGGTTACTTGGATGTCTTGTACAACTTGTTATCCAGTGAAATTCCCAAGTATGTCATCTATTAAGAAAATACAGCAGTGAAGAGAGTCTATAGCACTTGATGTCTCTATTCAACCTCTCTCCTCACTTCCTCTACTGAGACCAGAGTGAGAACAGAGACAGAGATCAAGAATCCCACACTCTCTCTCTCTCTCTCACACACACACACACACACACACATACACACACACATACACACACAAACACACACATGCTAGAGCGCGCCCAATCGTAAGAGAAATCGATTTGATCAATCGATCTTTAAGTCAATCTCTATGTACAAGCTTGTAGAAGCGAGGTTGCACCAGAAAATGCCCAATTGGGAGCTGAAGAAGTGTTGCAACCATGAACAAGTGGTGTTCCTCTCCACCATTGCTATCTGCACTGTGGTCATTCTTGTGGTATCTATTTCTTTATCTTCAGCTTTAAACCAAAATCACATTTTATTAAAGACCCATTTTCCTTTTAGACTCACTTAAATCTACATTTGATACAAATGTTTGTTTTTCAACTCCTTTATTAGTTCATAGAAGAGCAAGTAAGTGTTTTCCATGTGGGTGGGGTATGTTGTGTACCCCATTGATCAAATTTTTGGGGGGCTTTTTGGATCAAATTGGTTTTGAAGCTGTGAAATGTGGGAGATTTTGGAATTATAAACTTTGTTTAATTCAAACAAGTGTTGAATTGGGGCACTTATAGCATTAATTTGTATACTGTACTTTTTGTGGTCTCTGGTTGTCTTGATCTACTAATCCAGGAAGTCTCTACTTTTGTAGTTTTGTTATAAAAACAACATAATTCAATGATTTTAGTATATGGGATACCTATAGAAGGTTATTTTGTGTGTCACTTTTAGAAGGTTATGCAACCAAACATGGACCTCATCTATGGAAGTTAATGATATCATTAACTTATTAATTTCCAAAAATGGAATATTTTCAAGACATAACTTTGATATTGTAAATGGATCTCATCTATGTCTGGATAGGGCAATACACTGATATGCAAGGGTCTATGATTAAAAGATGATGTCCCAGAAACTCTGAGTTGTCTTCTTTAATAATGTGAGTCACCTCTAGAATCCGTGCGAGACACCTCTTGAGTTCATACATGCATGAACAAGGGCTTAATGCCATTCTGTTTAAGGGCTTAATGCCACTCTGTTCAAGGGCTTTAAGCCATTATGTTTAAAGACTGGGGCCAAGGCCGTTCTGAAAATGTTTACAAGACAAGAGTAATTATATGACCTTTGCACTTATATACGTTATAAATATTACAATTCAAGTTTAATCATTAAATTGTTTGAGTGCTATTATTCACTGAGCTTTGCTTATTTTGTTTTATGTATTTTTCTATAGGTGAGTCATCGGGGATTGACACTAGAATTGTACCAAGGTTTGCCTGTCTGCCAAGACACCTGGGGTATGTATTCACGTGGAGGCCTTAATTTATTGTACACCAAAATATCTAGAGAGAGAGAGAGGAAACCGTGAAAGGGAGAGAGGGAAGAGTGTCAATTTTCTCAACATCCATGGAGGCTTTGAAGATGATGGAAGAGAATTGAAGGAAAGAAAGAAGATCATCCATGGGACTTGGAGGAATTGAAGAGAGCTAAGAGATAGACAAAGATTGAGTTAGGTATGAAAATCTATCTTGAAATCTTGTGTTTAAAGTATCAATTTGGTAAAATCATAGAGATCTTGGAAGATTTAAACCCATTTGGGGTTAAGGTTTATCTATGTATTTACTTGAGCTAATTTGAGGAATTAGAAATTGAGTTCTTTAATTTTGTTTATGAGTGGAGCTCAAGCTCATGGATATCATGAAATAAACTTTAGATTATGCAAGAATCATGTGAATTTGTGGGTTGTGGGTTGTGTTTTTAAGAACCTTGAAGATCATGAAAGATTAAGCATTAATTTTGAACTTTGAGACAAAGATTGAATTGTTTGAAATGAAATTACACTTGGTTGATGTTAGTTTATTATGTTATAGGGCAATTTTACATGTTTTTGAGTGATTTATGTTAAGAACCAAGCTTAAAAATGGAAAAACTAAGTGTTGGAGCAAACAGAGCCATTTTCGGACTGCACACTGCCCAGAGCCGCACGTGCGGCTTTGTTTCCCGCACGTGCGGGAGACAGCTTTGTCCAGCCAACTTTGAATAAGCATATCTTTTGCCTCGGGACTCCGTTTTGAGTGATTCTTGAGCCTAAAATCAAGCCCCGGAAGTCTAGTTTCCAATGGAAGTGGTATCACTCCCAAATTCTAAATACAGAAATAGTTATGTCCAAATTAGTGATGACTGTTCACTTTCTGTCAACCAATTTTATACCATTTCTTCACCTAAACCATTTCCCATTGATTTCTCCTATTTTCTGAGACATGGAGTATAACTTATTAAGGAAAAATGAGCTTGGTATCACCATGGCTAATTGATTGCATGATCAAAGAGAATAAGTAAATGATCGAGTATAATCTCATATTATGTGTTGTGCACTGTACTTGTAGGTCAAGACGAGGACATCGTTCCACCGCTATCAGAGACCTACCATTGTGGGTAATAGTACTGTAGTTGTACATTGACTTTCCGTTAGTAATTCTTATTATTAACACTCTGTTCTTCGCAAATTAATTACGTTAACTGTTATGAATGATTGGGAACTGTAGATTGCCTATGTCTTTGCATGAATTAATACTGTACAAATTCTCGACAGGAAGCAATTGTGAACATAAGCCCCACCTTCTAAGAACATGATGTTTTGAATATCTTATAATGAATCATCAAAATGGCTAATCGGATAGAATTATGGTCTGCTTTATATGTTAATAATTATTACTAATGATTTGTTATATGTAAGACAACTATGTCAACTTGTGGTAAACCATAGGGAAATTTATGTGAACCATTGTGAACGGTACTCCTATGAGTCTGGGATTATTCTGTTCTGTTTATTCGTTTCGTTTATGCTATGAAATGATATAATTGATTTCTGGTATGGAACAGAGTGCTGTACGGAACTAAGTGCTACAATGCGAGCCACCTCTAGAATCCGTACGAGCCACCTCTTGAGTCCATACATATGTGAACTGAGGCCTATGGCCGTTCTGTGAAAGTTATGAGGCCTATGGCCGTTTTGAGAAAGTTATGAGGCTTATGGCCATTCTGTGACATATGTGAGGCCTATGGCCAATCTGTGACATCTGGGCCTATGGCCATTCTGTATGATCTGTTGTGTGAAACAAAGTACTGCACGAAACTAAGTGCTGCAATGTGAGTCACCTCTAGAATCCGTGCGAGCCACCTCTTGAGTTCATACATGCATGAAGAGGGCTTAATGCCGATCTATTTAAGGGCTAATTGCCATTCTGTTTAAGGGCTTAATGCCACTCTGTTCAAGGGCTTGAAGCCATTATGTTTAAAGACTGGGGCCAAGGCCGTTCTGAAAATGTTTACAAGACAAGAGTAATTATATGACCTTTGCACTTATATACGTTATAAATATTACAACTCAAGTTTAATCATTAAATTGTTTGAGTGCTATTATTCACTGAGCTTTGCTTATTCTGTTTTATGTATTTTTCTGTAGGTGAGTCATCGGGGATTGACACTAGAGTTGTACCAAGGTTTGCCTGTCTGCCAAGACACCTGGGGTATGTCTCTACGTGGAGGCCTTAATTTATTATTGGGAGTCATATAAATTAGTAAGTCTTATGTGAGTGTGTGTGAGATCTATATAAATTCTGTGGTTGTATATGTATATTTGGAATGTATTTAAATGCTTAAATCCAATTAAACCATTATGTATGCACGAGCTCAATGGATGTTGTCTTTTATTGATATTGCTTCAGCCTAAGGCCCCATATATGGTTAAATATTACTTTAAAATTTTGTTTTGAGGCCTATGTACAGGCCAGTCATGGACCAAACTTTTAGGGGCGGGTTTGGGTCGTGACATACACTTTAGAGGAACTTGTTGAAGAAGTGTTGGTTTTCTTGGTGAATACTGGAGTAGCATTTGCAATTTTTTTGAGATCCTCCTGTTGAAGAAGTGTTGGTTTTCTTGTGGATTTGCATCATTTAGATGTTTTCTCATATACTTTGATATGTAGGTGGAGGCAATCCAAGTTAATGCTGATGAAGGTGGATTTACACAAACATGTGGTGGCATATATTGGGTGATCTTCCCAGCTGGATGCTGTCCCTTGCTCATTCCTGATAAATTTTCTTTTTATTGCCAGAATGCAAAACTATTATTTTCATGTGACAAAATGCATTTTTGGAACACGCCAAGCATCCTTGACTTCCATGTTACTAAGTTATAATGCGCCCACATTATTCACCATGTTTGCTCAAACTTTTTTATATTGTTGTTTTTGATTGACAAGAAGTTTCTTTTCACATTTTCAAACATATCTTTGGAACTAACTCACATTGTTTTTAATTTATCACTTTTTTTTGTATTGTTCTTCTTGTATTATTAAACTTATTTTTAATTTTTGAGTCTTTTCAGATGTTTAATTCGATGCTTTATGTTATTATCTTGATGTTATAGGTTTCGTTGGTGAGCTGCATCCTGACAAGAATAGTGATAACAAGAAGCATGTGCTTTACACACATAAAAACATTATTGTTAAATACAACAAGGATCAGGTCCTTTGCTTATGAACTATTTGATTTTTTGATTGAGAATTGTGAATTCAATTTTTAGATATGTTATTTTGCGAGTAATGTTAAAACATCATTTGTGGATATGTTGTTTTATGGGTAATGATGATTGGATATTAAATTGAATGGGAAAGTGAACTAATGTTGAATTTACTATTTGAATAAGAGTTATTATTTCATATTAATGCTATTTAGTTTTATTACAGGTATTTTTTTTAGTTCAATCACATAAAATTAGCATAATTTTTTTTATATAAAAAAAAAGATATCACGGCGTTTTTGAAAAACGCCACCTAAACTCTAAAAGTTAATGGTCAGTTTTTAAAAAAGAAATGACGACATTTTGAAAACGTCGCTAAAACCATAGTGACGTCATAATACCATTAGGGTGGGACATTTGACGGTGTTTAAAAACGCTGCCTATAGTTATATAGCGATGTTTTTTAAACGCCATAAAGCCACAGCGACGGCCGCAGTGTCGGCGCTTGGTACTAAACGTCACGAAAAGAATTAGCGACGTTTTTTCTACCTATTGCGGCGTTTTTTAAATGCCGCAAAATGTCATTTTTCCAACAGTGATTATGAACTTGGAAAGCCAACTTCACATGGTGTGGATACTCAACAATTACTTTCCCTAGTATTTCCATTACAATATAGCCGGGAGCCAAAGCAAGGCTTTAAGTTTTCTAATTTTTTGATAGCAAAACGATTAATACTCAAACTTAATTTCTGACAATGTGGCAAGGCATGGATGGGTTAAGAGGTCCTGCGTGTTTAGGTACAGGCTACTACTTAAAGAGAGAGACATTATTTGGGAGTCCTAATCATGAGGGTATGTGTATTTAGTTTGAGAAGCATTACTATATATATGATCATTAACAGATGAACAATTAATATAATACAAGACTCACTTTTCAATACTTTTTTCTTTTTTCAGATGTTTTCCTTAATGAACCTGAAAGTAATTTTGGTTTGTCTAGCAAATTCATTGCTTCATTGAAGGGTATAAATGAACAAGAAGCCAATGGGATAGGACTGCTATCAGATATTGTTTCAGAAGAAGCAAGGAACTTGGCTTCTTGCATATTTGAAAATGGCACAAAATGGGGAAAAGAGGCAAGTACAAAATCTTACTGCAATGTTTTGAATCATTCTCAAACATAATAATACACTTTTGATGACGGTAAAGTTCTTGTTTCTTGGTAACAGATAGGTTATTCTTATGATAGCTTGTTGGAGAGTACGTTCACGGGGTATCTTTTGCACTCTAAAGGTTGGTGTTCCATCTATCTTTATCCAAAAAGACCGTGTTTCTTAGATTATACCATAATCGACATGAAGGACACCATGGTTCAACAAATGAAATGGAGCTCGGGATTGCTTCAAGTTGGTCTTTCAAGGTTTTGTTAGGGAAAATATATGATTCTCCACAAGTAAATCAATCAATTGGAATAAAAACTAATGCAGAAAAATTAAATCAAAAGCAACACAAGAATTTTTACGTGGTTCTCTCAATGTGAGGTACGTCCACGGGATCAAAATTCGATTCCACTATCAACCAAAGAGTTTCCAAACGGTTACAAACGAAACAAGAATGGTCTCACAAAATCACCCTTAGGTGAATTCCAAATTAGCACAAATAAATAAGAGGAAGACCTCACTAAATAGATGAACAAAAAACCTTCAAAACCAGAGTTGTAGAAGACCCAAAATAATTAACCCAAATCAAACACACAATGGCTGCCGAAACCAATCCAGAGTTGAATTCAATCAAGCACTGCCGCTCCAAACCAAAAATCACCAAAGATGAATCAATGAGCACAAACCCCGAAAAAAGGATGTTATAGCAACGACACCCTTTTTTTTTTTCTTTCACTCACGAAAACTAAAACAATATTTATATATTGTTCAATCTTGGTTTTGTTTTATCAAAACCCTAGTTGTTATCAAATTGGATTGGGTCTCCACAAATTAGATATAATATATAAAAATATATTATAACTAATACCAAACCAAATTAAATTCTTTTAATAAACCAATTGAGTTCCACACTCCAATAAGGAGGTATACCCAACAATTCTCTCCCTACCGACTTAGGTGGAGACATCAACCATACCCGCTAAAGTTCGACACTTCAAATGTTTGTCCCTTGACAAAGTCTTAGTCAACATATCTGACATATTATCATCTGTGTGAACCTTTTCGAGTTGCAACAATTTCGAATCTAACACATCACGAATCCAATAGTATCTCACATCAATGTGTTTCGATCTTGAATGAAAAGTAGAATTTTTACTCAAATGAATAGCACTTTGACTATCACAATTAAGCACATACTTTTCTTGCTTCAAACCCAACTCTTGCAAAAATTTCTTCAACCATAACTCTTCTTTGCAAGCTTCCGTAATGGCAATAAATTCAGTTTCGGTAGTTGAGAGAGCAACACATTTTTGTAATTTAGATTGCCACGACACAGCTCCCTCTGCAAATGTCATCAAATACCCCGAAGTAGATTTCCTAGAATCACTATCACCGGCCATGTCAGAATTCGTGAACCCATCAAGCATCGGCATACCTTTCCCAAAACACAAACACACCTTCAAAGTCCCTCGAAGATACCTTAAAATCCATTTCACTGCTGCCCAATGTTCTTTACCCGGATTAGAGAGAAACCGACTCACCACACCAACGGCGTGAGCAATATCCGGCCTTGTACAAACCATGGCGTACATCAAAGAACCAACTGCTGAAGCATAAGGAATTTTCAACATCTCTTCTTTGTCTTTCTCACTTGTAGGACATTGATTCAAACTAAGTTTGAAGTGGCCTGCAAGTGGACAACCAACCGGCTTTGCTTTATCCATGTTGAATCTCTCAAGAACCTTCTCAATGTAGCTTTCTTGAGACAACCAAATCAATCCCTCTTTGCTATCACGAAGAATTTTCATACCAAGAATTTGCTTTGCCAGTCCCAAATCTTTCATAGCAAAAGACTTGCTCAGCTCCAATTTCAACCAGTTAATCATGGTAGAATCTTGACCCACAATTAACATGTCATCAACATAAAGCAAAAGAATAATAAATTTTCCATTCGGAAAATTTTTCACAAACACACAATGGTCTGAAGTGGTTTTAGAAAAACCATTATTCATCATGAAAGAGTCAAATTTTTTGTACCATTGTCGTAGAGCTTGTTTAAGACCATACAAACTCTTCTTCAATTTGCATACAAATTTCTCTTTCCATTTCTCTACAAAACCCTCTGATTGCTCCATGTGAATTTCTTCTTCCAAATCACCATGAAGAAATGTGGTCTTCACATCAAGTTGGTCAATTTCAAGGTTCATACTTGCAGCCATGCCAAGTACAACCCGAATATAAAACATCTTCACAACCGGCGAGAAAATCTCATCAAAGTCAATACCTTTTTTTTGCCCAAAGCCTTTCACAACAAGACGTGCTTTGTACCTCAGATTCTTGCTATCTGTAGACGTCCCCGAACGTCCCGGGAGAGAAATCCCGTTTTGTTCATTGGGGCTCACTACAGTTCGGACTCAAAAGTCACGGTCCTGTATCTAATCTCGCAGAGTGCAATGCAAGACCGATGAATCATCAAAGAGTCCAAATCCGGCAAATCGTTCTTGAAAAAAGATTTTTTTTGAAAGAAGTGCCAAACATGGACTACTTTGCCAGATACAGAATCGCCACCTAAATATTTTATTTTTGAGAAATTTAGGAAACCCTGACTCGTTGCCCGAGGCCACGTGTCCGTCATCACCAAAGTTACCTCGGCTCGGGAACTTGGGTACGATTGGGGAAGGTCACTTCGTGAGCACCCTCGCTCACCCGATCAAAGATCGGCCTCTACTAACCATGATATCTAGTTTTGAAAACATTATGTGTTCTTGTTCTGGTTATTAGCCTAGATTTACTATGTGATGCGCACAGCATACAAGTATAGACTGGATTGCCTGAATTGGAACGAAACATTTCATGTTTGTTTTGAAAACGGTTTGCTACTCGCAAGTAGGCTAAAATATGGATTTGCCACCCTCAGGTGGGCTTAGAAAACATGATGATTTGCCACTCTCGAGTGGGCTTAAAACTCACAATTGATGAATTGTTCCAATCCAAATAACCCAACCTTCACCCACAGGCATTCAGGCAGGTATATCACATAAGCAATTATCCTCATGGTAAGCATGCTATCATGGCAGCCATTCACACACATGCGGGGATGCTAAAGCATAAACACTTACCGAGTACTCCAAGCCAAAACAGAAACTAGTTAGAAATCAATGCATGATCCCAACTATACAGAAATGCCCAATGCAACACATGTAAAAATGCAACTACAATAGGCTCGGCTATTCTAAGATGGCATATGATGATGCTACAACTAACACGTATTCAATTTGGAATTGAAATACAAATGTAGTTAGTATGATGCGCCGAGCCCGGTGCATGCAGGACAGATGAATGATGCAAACATGCAAGCATAAGTATGCTAATTGAAACATGCCCTAATCTAACCATCATAAGCTGGTAAATAAAAGAGAGAAAGACGTGGGATTGGAAGACATACATCACACGCACGCACACTTATTACAATTGTGCCCTCGCTCGAAGGTCCGAATAAATAATACAGTCCGA